TGGGGGCAGGGTGGTTGGACGGAGGGGGGTGGAGGGTTTCGGGATGTTCGAGTTTGAGTTCGTCCCATAAAAACCGGTCTTCACTTTCCAGGGCCTCCTGAAAAAGCTCAAGCTGTTCTCCCGCAACTTCGGCTCGGACAGCCCGTGCAGTCTGATGCTGACACAACCACCCGCGGTGGCGGATGCTGTCGACCTCACCGCGCAAGGGGCATCTGCCGTCGCTCTGGTAACCTGCCGCGCGAGCTCGCGTGCGGGTCCAAACTCCATTACAGAAAACGGAGCTGGCGAGGTATTTTTCCCGATCGGTCAAAACCTTAGACTTGGGCCCCAGGAGTTTTTGCAAGGGGTCAAGAGTCACACGGTGACCAGGAAAATTCACGATGTCCGAAGCCAGCTTCCGTTCAAAACTGCGCTGGGTGGCCAGCCTAAGTAAATGACTCACCATACTGGGAGAATTGAAACCGAGGTGAACTTCGCGACCGTAGTCGTCCTCCCAAGTGAGAGCAGACGTGGCACACCAGCCCACGCGAGAGAGACACATATGCATTCTCTGGATGGGCCCCCTCGAGCTCTTCCAACTCACATCTTGGTCGAACGGCACTCGGCACCACATCTGACGCACTTCCTTAACCGTGTAATAGGAAGTCGCGGGGGAAGTGATGGCCGTCCAGACCATCGAGGCCCAATGAACCGCGGGGGCCACGCTGGCACGGTCGACGGGGTCCCCATGCAAAGCAAGTTTGGCCGTAAGGGAACAACCGCGGTGGAAAGGGGGTTTGTAGGAGAGGAGGACACGCCTGGCCTGGGACAACTCCCAGTCGCTCAAACCAACGACGGCCGATCCGAAAGTGGCAGCAGGAGTAACGCCAGCCACATAGATCTTCCCGATTCGGCCCTTCTGCCGAGGGAGTCGGCTCCTCATCTTCTGCAACTTCTTATGACGCTTAAACATAGAATCGAAACGGGATCGGCGTTTCCAAAGGGCATTGCGAGCCGACCTCACCTGGCCAGGGGCGAAATCAGTGCCAAGAGAAACGGTGCTGTTCGTGACAAGGCCAGCCTTGTGGCCGAGCAAAGCGCCAAGCTTTCTAGCCAAAGAAAGAGAGCTCCCAAACGTGGTTAAGTTACCCGCCTGGAGGCCGACCTTCAAACTGTCGCGGAAAATAACGTACATGTGCGCACACGCCTGGACCATACGACTGAGAGCCTCTTGTTCCGTATCCGCCTGCGTCGTCAGAGCATCATCATCGACATAGGAGGAGAGAGGGACGAGTGGGTTGGCCATCGTGTAGCCGTCGAAGGCCTCGAGGCTGTACGCACGGACAAACAGGTCGTTAAATCCGTCACCCGCGGGTAGGCCCGACGTGGCGAAGTAGGGGGTCGTGCCATACATGCTGCCAAGCCTAACGATTCGGGGCCCTCGCCAGAAGTTAAAGGCGGCTTTAACAATGACTTCCTGGAACCCAAACTTGAGAGCACGATCCCTGAGCAAAACCAAATCGAAGCTTTCGTAGTACTTGGTGCCGTCCCAGATCACCCCAAGAGACACTTGGCCCGTCTGAGCCGCCACTTCGCTGGCCGCCGCCTGATGCCGCACAGTATCCTCGGGGCTGCGGCCAGGGCCGAAGGCCCAAAAACGTCGGGGGAAACGGTCGCTAAAATCGGTGAGCCAAGGTCTGCGGAGGCGTTCCCAGACACGGACGGGCCCAGCGCATAACAGGATGGGTCGGAGTCCGCCCTTGGGTTCCTCCAACAAAGGGAACAGCAACCAGAACAACTGGTTGGGGAACAGCCCCAAAGACTCGATAGCCTGAACGAGGGCGCCGAAGGTGTCGAGGGCCGCATCTGAGACCAAAGAGAGCTGCAGCGGGTGCAGCCCGTCGAGCGACTGGGAGGTGAGCGCCGAGAAGCTGGCGCTGGCGCTGCGGATCTTTCCTGCAGTTGGCCTCGGAAGATGATTCCTGTTCGGAACCCACACACTAGACGGCGCCGTGCTGGCATGCCAAAAGCTAGCCAAAGCTTCGCTCTCGGCCTCAAGCAGGTCCCGCGGGTTGGCCGAAAAAATGCCAGGGTGAGTTTCGATCGTGGTAGGGGTCCACCGACGTTTCAGTTTGGTAAGGCGGTGCATAGCCCTAGCCCCTCCCCGTAACGCTTTCTCCTGTCATTCATCCCATGAGTCCTGCCTCCCCTTCTTGATGGCCTTGACAGCCTCGTCGTAGCCGTCCTCCCAAGACTGGAGGAACTCGTCAAGGTCAGTCAGCCACGTGGCTGAAGAAGCGGACCCACGGCGCATGAGCTCACGAGACTGTGCAATCGTGCTGTCCAGGCGCGCGCTGAGTCCCTCTCCAGGGCATGGCTGGGCAACAACAAGCTGCATCTGCTGATTCACGTCCTGACACAATTGATCGAGCTTGTTAGGGTCCTGGTCAATCCCTTGCTCCGCCTCCTGGAAACGACGGCAGGCCCCGAGGGTTTCACGAAGCTGCTGGGCCAACCATTCCCAACCAACAAAAACCAGGTTCGTGGCATTACCTTTGGGACGAGAAAAAATGGGAATCCAACGCGCCTTCAACCTAGAACCCTCGTGGCCCTTGCTGGTAACTGGGACGCCCGTAAAGGACTCGAGCTCGAGCTCGAGGGTATTGGAGAAGTACACCCACGCTCGGCTCAAAAGTTCCCACGCCTCGCCGACGGGAGCAGAAATAGCCGCATCGGCCGCGCATTCGGCGATGTCGCGAGCCATGCTCCAATTCTGCGGGCAAGGGGGCGGTCCCACAGGCAGCTCGCACGGAAGTCGTTGGTGCGACCTGTAAGTTAACTGGTACAACGACACAGCACGATCACGAAGTTGCAACTGAACTGGCCTGTGGGGCCGCCCCGTCCACGTCAAATCGGCCTTCACACCCTCAACCGCCCTCGAAAAACTATTGGAGGCCAGGAAGAAATCAAGGGTGGTGAGGGAGGAGGGACTGACACACGTGCGTTCCTTAGGCACGAACAAGATAGCCTCGAGGCGGCGGGGCAGGCCAACTGACTCAATGAGGCTGGGGGCCAGATTCCAGCCCCCGCCCGCCAAAAAGAGGTGCTCGCGCTGCAAAGCCTGACCGATTTTCTTAAGCAACCTCAGGTTGAGCTCGCAAAGCCCAGTGCCTGATTTCAAGTAAACCGACATAACAACGAGGGGGGGCCAGGAAGGGATGCCAACGATAGCCTTCAGAATCCGACCGTGCTCGACGATGCCAGGGCCATCCGAGGGCCACCTGAGGCCCAGGTGCTGTCGGACCAAGACGGCCGCCCCCCATTTGGGTTTCCCAGACAATCCTGGAACAGCAGGAGCTGCGAGCATACGCCAGCCCAGCTTACCTACTGCGTCGCACTTGTCACCCTCGTCGTCGAGGGTGAACCCGATCTCCAGAGCCAACAAAATAAGAGCGGAAGTGGTAGTCAACCGTTCTCGTAGTGTGGGCCAAGAGTTTCCGTTGTACGTCTCGAAAAACTCACCGCCCATCGTGCCCAGGGAGGAATCCACAGGAGGAGGGGGGGGAGGCACTGGAAGGCCAAACCTAGACAGAGGCAGGCCGCAGCACAGGGGCATCACTTCGCTACTACTGCTAGGAACGTCGCTGGCGCTTGGCCAGGATCTCCTGCAGCTCGATGCCCCACTCACGCTTCTCGATGCGCTGGGCGCTGAAGAACAGCTCCTGCACGTCAGGGTCGTCCTCATCGACATCGACTGGCACGGGCTCATCAGCTGCGTCCGCCCACGCGCTGGGCGATCGTACTGGGGTTGGCGTCGATTCTTCTGGCTGCTGAGCCTGAGGCATGTCAGTGTCGCCAGCAACATCAAAAGGGGAGGGCGATGCCGTGGTCGTCGCTGCCGCTGCTCTGACCTGCTGCTCCGCGAGGAACTGCTTGTACTTCTGAAACACATCTGACTGGAGCATGGCCGAAACCGCATCCTTGTCAGCACCTGGTTGTACTTCTTCGAGGTTGAGTGGAGCATGCCCCAGATGACCAGGAAGGTTGAGCACCAGCTGGCGATTGAGCTCCTTGATCTCCTTGTCACATACTGTCTGCTGTGCACGTATCGAGTCGAGCTTCTCTTGAGCCTGCTGCAATATCTGAAGCTGCGCAGTCTCATCCTGTCCAAGCTGCTTGCGCTTCGCGACCATACGTGCCAGCTTGTGGCCCGTGTTGGTGTGCTGAGTGAGCGCTGGCTTGCATTCTGACAGTGCCTTTCTGGCCTCCTGAAGCTGCGTCTCCAAGGAGGCCTTGGCCGAGCCGCCACCGTCGCTGAGTTTGCCCACAGCCTTGATGGCGGTCTCGAGGTCCTTGATACTGTCACGAATATGCTTCTCTTTGGCGTCCTCCTTGGATTCATCTCCAGCGCCTCCTGCATGGCCTGCTGTGGAAGTAGTAGAGGACGCCAGCTTGTCGTACTTCTTCTGAAGCGCATCAAGCTGTCTCTGTAACTTGTCGTTGTTGCCGCCTCCGCCAGCAGGGTTGCGACGCCCAGCAGCAGGAGGAGCACGTCCGTTGCCATCATTTTTCTTCGCATACTGCTTTGCGGCTGCCACGACCTTCGGGGGAGCCGTCTTGCCGCACCTGCACTGGACCCGCGAGGCCCAGTTGGTGTTGAGGCCGCAGCCCCCACAGGCCCAGAACGGTTGCTTCGGGCCTGGGAGCACGGGCCCCTCATTGCTCATCTGCCCCCGAGGGGGCGTGAAGACTGCTCCAGCAGGAGCTCACCGTGAAGAAAGATAGGCTCGCAGCAGCACGTGGCCGCTCTGAAGAGGCATGCTGCTGCAAGCTCAGGAAGAACACCTGAGCCAGAACGGCTAGGAGGATGGAGGAGGAGGAGGAGGAGGAGGAGGAGGAGGAGGAGGAGGAGGAGGAGGAGGAGGAAGAGGCCCGCCCGCCCGCCGAGAAGCGGGATGCACCCGCAAGACAGGCGGCAGCAGCAGCAGCCTGCGGAGGCCGGCCCCCCTCTCGCGCGCAGCCTGGGTGCCGCAAGGGCGGGCGGCGTCGGCTGCGACGGCGGCCAAGGCACCCCGCGGGCCAGGCGCGTGCGCCCTGGCGCTCCGCGGGGGCTCCCTCCTCCATGCTCTCCTCCCTCCATCCTCTCCTCCCTCCTCCCTCCTCCCTGCTCCACCCTCCTCCCTCCTCCTCCCTCCTCCCTCCTCCTCCTCCTCCTTCTCCTCCTTCTTCTCTTATTATTATTATGCTTCGTCTTCACATTAATATGTGTCGTCTTCTTCTCCTTATTCTTTTTATCAGTATGGTGGTGGATAGTGTGATTATTAATATCATCATTACTAGTAGTGTACTAGTATCAGAAATACTATTACGATTTGTTATTGTTATTATGATGAGTAGTATTATGTTTACTAGTAGTAGTAGTAGTAGTAGTAGTAGTAGTAAGTAGTAGTAGCAGTAGTAGTAGTAGTAGTAGTAGTAGTAGTAGTAGTAGTAGTAGTAGTAGGTAGTCGTAGTGGTAGTCGTAGTCCGTAGTCGTAGTCGTAGTTCGTAGTAGTCGAGTAGCAGGAGTAGAGTAGTAGTAGTAGTAGTAGCCGTAGTAGTAGCCGTAGTAAGTAGTAGTAGTAGTAGTAGTAGTATTAGTATCGTAGTAGGAAGTAAGTAGTAAGTAGTTAAGTAGTAGTAGTAGTAGTAGTAGTAGTAGTAGTACTAGTAGTAGTAGTAGTAGTAGTAGTAGTAGTAGTAGTAGTAGTAGTAGTAGTAGTAGTAGTGGTGGTAGTAGTGCTAGTACTCGTACTCGTACTCGTACTAGTACTAGTAAGTAATAGTTGTAGTAGCAGCAGTAGTAGTAGCAGTAGTAGTAGTAGTGTTTGTATTAGTAGACTGGTGATTACTACTACGGGAATTATAAGTATTATGTGTGTGGTTGATCGTATTACTAAGGTTGCTATTACCCACACTATTGTCACTTATTCTTCTTATCGTATGATTTCTCATATTGCTCATATTCTCATTCTCCGTCTCCTTCTCATTATCCGTCTTCTTCTTCTGCGTCTGCTTCTGCTTCTGCTTCTGCTTCTGCTCCTCCGCCTCCGCCTCCGCCTCCGCCTCCGCCTCCGCCTCCGCCTCCGCCTCCTCCTCCGCCGCCGCCGCCTCCTCCTCCTCCGCCTCCGCCTCCGCCTCCGCCTCCTCCTCCTCCTCCTCCTCCCTCCGCCTCCGCCTCCGCCTCCGCCTCCGCCTCCGCCTCCGCCTCCTCCTCCTCCGCCTCCTCCTCCTCCGCCTCCTCCTCCTCCTCCTCCTCCTCCTCCTCCTCCGCCTCCCGCGCCCCCCTCCCCCCCCCCCCGGCGGGGGCCTCGGCCACGCTGCGCGCGGGCCGCGCCTCCCGCGCGCGCTCTGCGCCAGGGCGGTGGGGGGAGGGAAGCGGGGGCCAGGGGGGCGTCCTCCTCCTCCTCCTCCTCCTCCTCCTCCTCCTCCTGTTCCTGCTCGGGGTAGGGGCAGGGACTGGGGACGAGGGGAAAGAACGAGGGTGAGGAGGGGGAGGAGGGGGAGTTCGCGGAGCGAAGATGAGGGAGACGAGGGAGAAAATGGAGGAGGAGGAGGAGGACCAGTGTAAACCCAATAATCATCAACGACGTTGGAATAAACCCTCCCTCCAAACTCCCTCTTGGTAGGCCCCTACAGCGGTTCAGTTCCACTAATGGAGCTGCCTCGGGATTCACACGCCACGGATCAACCAGACTGTTGCGTCTTGAGGATACCGAACCGTGCCAGGACGCCATTCCTAGGACTTCAACACTTCAACATCGCGAATCAACGTAACGGCTGCACCCTCATAATCCCAAATCCTTCCAACACATGAATTATTTCTGATACGTTGATCTTGGAAATCCGTGGAACTCTTGCGAATGTTCAAAACACAAATGTGCGCGGCACCCCAGCGAGAACCACATGTTGAAAACGAACCGCCCTCAATCCGTAAAGAACTTGCAATTGTTTAAAACGATTGTACGCGGCGCTAAGGCGAGAGCCATATTTTGAAAACGACCCACCCTCAATACATGACCCCTCTGCAAATGTTTAAGACGAGCGCACGCAGCGCTAAGGCAAGAACCATACGTTGAAAACGGCCCGCCCTCAATCCGTGAAGCTCTTTTCATGGTTTGGAACGAATGTGCGCGGAGCTAAGGCGGGAGCCATATGTTTAATACCACCCGCCCTCACTCCGTGCGACGTTTGCGAATATTGAAAACGAATGTGCACGGCGCTACGGCGAGAGCCACATTTTGAAGACGACCCGCCCTCCATGTTTGAAGCTCCTGTCAATGATTTAACTTCAAGGTTACAAATAGTAAGGACAACTCAAACGAAACTCCCGGCCCGCCCTAAAATCTTGCCTCGCGGTGCGACAGAGAACAGTTAGTTACAAGGAATATGATTGCAGCAGAGGCAGTAGTGGTGGTGGTAGTAGTAGTAGTAGTAGTAGTAGTAGTAGTGATAGTAGTAGTAGTAGTAGTAGTAGTAGTAGTAGTAGTAGTAGTAGTAGTAGTAGTAGTAGTAGTAGTAATAGTAGTAATAGTCGTAGTCGTAGTCGTAGTAGTAGTAGTAGTAGTAGTAGTAGTAGTAGTAGTAGTAGTAGTAGTAGTAGTTATTGTGTTTAGTAGTAGTAGTAGTAGTAGGTTTAAAAGTAGTAGTAGGTAGTAGTATACGTAGTATCGTAGTAGTAGTAGTAGTAGTAGTAAATCGTAGGAGTAGTAGTAGTAGTAGCGTAGTCGTAGTCGTAGGCGTAGTGTGAGGTCGAATCGTAGTAGTAGTAAGTAGTAGTAGTAGTATAGCGTAAGTAGTAGTAGTAGTAGAGAGTAGTATAGTTAGTAGTAGTAGTAAGTATCGTGGTAAGTAAGTCGTGGTCGTGTAGTAGTCGTAGTCCCGTAGTAGTAGTAGTAGTATAGTCGAGTAGTAGTAGTAGTAGTAGTAGTAGTAATAGTAAGTAGTAGTAAAATTAAAGTATTAGTAGTAGTAGTAGTAGTAAGTAGTATAGTAATAGTAGTAGTAGTCGTAGTAGTAGTAGTAGTAGTATTAGTAGCCGTAGTCGTAGTCGTAGTATAGTAATAGTAGTAGTAGTAGCAGCAGCAGCAGTCGTAGTAGTAGTAGTAGTAGTAGTAGTAGTAGTAGTAGTAGTAGTAGTAGTAGTAGTAGTAGTAGTAGTAGTAGTAGTAAAGTAGTAGTAGTAGTAGTAGTAGTAGTAGTAGTAGTAGTAGTAGTAGTAGTAGTAGTAGTAGTAGTAGTAGTAAGTAGTAAGTAGTAAGTAGTAAGTAGTAAGTAGTTAGTAGTAGTAGTAGTAGTAGTAGTAGTAGTAGTAGTAGTAGTAGTAGTAGTAGTAGTAGTAGTAGTAGTAGTAGTAGTAGTAGTAGTAGTAGTAGTAGTAAGTAGTAAGTAGTAAGTAGTAGTAAGTAGTAGTAGTAGTAGTAGTAGTAGTAGTAGTAGTAGTAGTAGTAGTAGTAGTAGTAGTAGTAGTAGTAGTAGTAGTAGTATATTAGTAGTAGTATAGTAAATAATATTCAGTAGTATTAATATAATAACAATAATATTATAATATAAAAGTAAAAGGAGGATAGGAGGAGGAGGGGGGTGAGGAGGAGAGGAGGAAGAAGATGAGGGGAGTATGAGGACGCGGAAGATGAGGAGATAAAGGATGATGGGGGGAATGGAGGAGGGAGGGGGATGGTAGAGGGAGGTAGAAGGATTATGGGGGGTCGGGATCGAACATCAGGGCGGAGGAATGACTGGATGATGATTATGAGGGGGAGGAGGAGGAGCAGAAGGAGGAGGAGGAGGAGGAGCAGGAGGAGGAGGAGGAGGAGGGGGGATCCAGGATCGAAGATGCAGGGGATGAGGGGAGGGGATGCAAGAGGGAGAAGAGGAGGAGGAGGAGGAGGAGGAGGAGGAGGAGGAGGAGGGAGGAGGAGGGAGGAGGAGGAGGAGGAGGAGGAGGAGGAGGAGGAGAAGGTGAAGAGCGAAGGGAAGGGGAGACCGAGGATCGAAGGTCAAAGATGTTCGCCCTGGCTGGGCGCGGGAAGCCTGCCGGAGCCAAGTGGGGGGGGGGAGTGGGGAGACGGCAGGGGGGAGAGAGAGAGAGCAGGGGGAGGCACGGAGAGAGGAAGGAAGAGAGCCCTGGTAGAGAGGGAGGCCGTCAACGCAGCTCCAGACCCCAAGACAGCGAAAACAGTGGGGGCGGCGACGGCCGGCCCCTCGCCCCAGGTGGCGAAAGAGGAGGAGGGAGAGCGCGAAGGAGAGAGGGGGCCAAAGAAAGGATGATTCGGGAGAGATATGCGGCAGAACGGACGAGGGAGGGAAAACAACAAGGAGAGGTAACGGTGTAGAACGCAAAGCTGTCTACACCGTTATCACAGAAAAAAGGTGGAGTCTCATCGTGCCTGTTGGCAGACCTCAGCGAGATTTATCATGTCGATGCCGAGGTGCATCCAAGTTAATATCGTGTGTAGAAATCTGCCGACCCTGTCGGCATGTGTCAGACGTTTTTCCGTTTGATTGGTCCTCGTCGCCGTCGCCGCTCTCCCCGTTCCTTGGGCCCTCCTCCTCAAGCGATCCCGCCAGACGGAAGTCAAATAACGCCGTGATTACTCCAGATTTCGTAATAAAGGGAGGGGGGTCTCATTTCGGGGGGGGGTCTCTTCCAGGCTATCTTGGAGGGCCTGGGGAGGTCTGGGGACGATGTTTTGGAGGGTTCTCCCACGGGGGAGGTCTGAAATGGCTTGCCTTGGAGGGTCCAGACCCCCTCCCTTTGATTACGAAATCTGGAGTAATTGATTCGAAAGGAAGCCCCTTCCCTTTGATCCCCTCCCTGGCGGGGTTCTGGGGGGGAGGAGGGTCCTGGGGGTCGTGACCTCCCCCCGAGGGGGGTCCCCCCCTGTGGACAAGGGGGACAGAGGGCTGGCCCCCTTGTGGAGGGACAAGGGGAACGCCCTCCCTCCCTCCCTCCCTCCCTCCCTTCCCTCCCTTTCTCCCTCCCTCCCTCCTCCCTCCCTCCTCCCTCCCTCCTCCCTCCTCCCCCCTCCCTCCTCCCTCCTCCCTCCTCCCTC